GAAATCACAGTACCTGAAATCTGATCTGCTTATTTTTCTGTTGTTTGGATTTTTAATGTGGAGGGGGTAATTTTAAAGTTAGGAATTCAGTCTTTCACTGTGCTGCTGAATCCAGTGACAGTTCTGTGTGGTGGTCTTCCTGGATGGGGTCATGGCATTTTTTTGTGGGATGCACATGTGCTTTGTGTGTTTGTGTATGAGCAAAAGCTGCATTAACTGGAAAATGAGTCTGCTTCCCTAAATCACGACATGAATTTGCAGGATATATATTTGTTGTTTGTATATGTAGAAAGAAGCTTTTAGAATAAAATCTGTTAAACTACTTTTTTAACAGAAGAGTTGGCAAATCCCACCCAGTTGATGGAGACCTACCCTTTGACCACTTTTCATGTCTAATACCAGAAATCCTTTAACAATTGCTGATCTTTACTAAATAAGATTAATTGACAAAAAACCCACAGATTCCTGGATTTTAGGTTTTTTTGTTGTTGTTGTTTTTCAAGTATGGAAGGTACTTTAAGCTACAGAAATCCAGCTTTATATGGTTAGTGTAAAACACAGAGTTACCATAGGTCCTTTTGTAAACTCTAATAGAATAGGGGGCACTCAGTGATCTTTGATACAGTTCTCTGATTTCATTGAATTGCAACCATTTCATTATTTGTTTGGAGTGTTTTGTAGTTGCTTGTATTACTCTTGGACTAAATTGCAGACAAGATGCTACAGTGACAAATGCTGTGCAAACAAAAAGGACAAAAAGTTCTTTTCCTCTAAGAATTTCTGTTGTGTGTTATTTGAGCACTACCACAGGCTCTCCCTTTGGGATACATAATACAGCTGAGCTGGAAGGAAAGAAAAAAAGGATGGAAAAATACTGTTATTGACTTTCTAATTATGGCATGGTAATTGTTCATCACTTCTACCTTGAGATTGCTTTTCTTGCAGTATAATGAAGTCACAATCTCCTTGCATGTGAGCCATGAGAGCTGGGGAGGAGAGTGATAGATGTTCCTGATTTTCAAAATTTGGAGGGGAAAATGTTTTTTTCAACAAATGTGTTTCTGTTGGGCTGCAAATCCGGTGTTTCTTAGTATTTCTCACCTTGTTCAGAGTTAGCTGCCCTTATTTTTAAAGATATTATTGCTTTTCCTTGTTGCAGCAGTCCTGAATACTCATTTCTAGACATCCTCCTTGCCCAGCCCACTTCTGTGTGGACTTCACCTCCTTGTTTTTCTGGTGATCACTAATCTCTGGAGCTCACTTCCGTAATATAACATTTCCCCCTATCCTTTTATTTAGTATATGCCTGCAAGCCCTGAGTTGTGATGTGGCTGTTTCTTTCTTCCTTACATGCCACTGGGCAAAGCTTGAAGGATGCACTTTAACAAGATAGCAGTTTTAAATAAGTTGTGTGCTTTGGGTTTTTTTTTTAATATATTTGTTTAAGCCATCTAGGCTTCTGCCCAAAATCAGTTGTTACTGATTTTAGGCTATGGCATGAGTGATGAAAAGGAGAGCATGTGGAAGGTCTGACAGCAGTGAGAGTCACTTTGGGACACGGCTGTGTGGTGTCCTGCAGCTGATCCCATTTCCCTAAGAATAGCTGGGACACAAGTCCAACCCCTCTGCAGAATACTGCCCAGCTCATGGCTTTTAACAGCATCTCAGGAACTCTTTGGGGATGAGGAAAAAACCATACTTTTATTTCTGCCTGTGCTCCAAGTCCTGTGATTTTCAAGTTCTGGGGTGTAATGGAGAAGAGAAAGGGGAGATCAGTGTGAGTCAGCCACAGCTGCTCTCTGGGAGCCTGTGAAAGGGACCTTCCTCTCCTGGGCTCACTGAGATGTCTGTAGACCTCTCACATGGAAAAAGAAAGTTGGGACGTGTTTCCATACTGAAATCCAGGAGTTCTCCTTTTGAATTCTGTGTCAGGGTGCAGGTAGGTTACTAATCCTTTGGCTGGGACAAAATCCCTCTCCATCAGTGGCTTACACAAACTGTGCATCACATTCTGATGCATGACCCACAGCAAACCTTTCCAAGCGCTTTGTGCCTGAAGTGAGTCTGCAGGAAGGAAAAGACAAGCAGAAGCCAGGCACACTGGGGGCTGGACTGGGATGCACTGTCACATGAGTCACTTTGGTTTTGGGGTTGTGTGTCACAGTGACACACTGCTCACGTAGCTCTTTAATACTTAGCTCAGCTTTCCAGGTTTCCTAACAGTGCTCATGTGACTTCCTGCTCAGCTTCATCACACTAAGAATATTCAAATGAGTTGTGTACACAGTTTGAGTCCCCTTGTCTGCAAAATGGGGAAAGTACTGACAAAAGCTGGCGTTCCTTTGTTTGTATTCCAAGTGCTTGGAGGTGGAAAAAAAGTAAGTGCCTTCTATTTATTGTGAGGTGTTTGTGAAAACTTTCAATTATTGGAGTGAAGCAGTCATATATGAACCAATAATTTTGATTTGGGGTAACATAGTTTCATAGAACTAGTCTGCTGTGCAAGGACTAAAGGGCATACTGTGTTTAGTCTGTGTAGTTAATCTGATTATACTAAATGATGGCGACTTCTTATCTTAGTAGTATGGCTTTTGTGACACATTAATGAGAATGTTTTATTTAACTAGTTGTTCTCTGTGTCTCTATCTGCCTTTTAGAGAAAATTTTAAAAACTAACCTTATTTTTAAATTAACTTTTCTTTAAAGTTCATAGGCACGTTGTGGTGATGGGGAAGACATAGCTGCACCTCTTGATGAGTTTGCAGCTTATACTTGCGTTGTGCAATTTCCATGTTTCTGCTTTTAGAGAAAGCAAAGCTGGGCATAGAACACTTGTGAAACCAGGGTAATAGGTTAATGAGATATTCTCCTCTAGCAGTTTAATCTCTTCCAAATCCCCTTATCTGCTGGCTAATCAAATAGATATGGAACAATTAATATATTACTCTTTTCTTTTGTTTTTAAAGGAGGAGTTAAATATGTATTTCAAAGATGGGCACTGGTGACTTCTTTATACTTGTTCAAATGTTGCTACTTCTGGAAGTGAAATAAGATCCCCAGTTTGCTTCATGTGTGCAAAATTCCTTCTTTCTGAGTGGTAGCAGAGCTGCAGTGACTCTCCTTGTCTGGCTCCTGCTTTTCCTTGTGTGACCTCTTCTCTTCTCTTCTCTTCTCTTCTCTTCTCTTCTCTTCTCTTCTCTTCTCTTCTCTTCTCTTCTCTTCTCTTCTCTTCTCTTCTCGCAGTGGTAACAATTTATGTAGCTGCTTATCTAAAATAATTGCTTCCTAAGTTTTTTGTAGCCATTTGTCTTGTAGTTTTCTAACCTACTATATTGTTTGTGTCAATATTGAAACATATATTGCTGGTTCAATCTGAATTTAAAATCAGGTATTTGTATGACAGGCATTGTCAGTGGTTTTCCTGGGCTGGGGAGGGCAGACCTGGCTGAAGAAAGGCTGGCAAAGCCCTCATTCACCACCAGATGGACAGCCCAGACTCCTGGGGAAAGTGGTTTATTCCTAATGTGGGAAACTGAGCAGAAAATTTGCCTTCTCAACAAAGGCTTTCCTGAAGCAATAAGGTGTTCTGTTATAAAGGCACTTAATATGCAAGCCCAAGCAACAGGGGCAAGTTTGAACTCCTGCAGGTGAACTTTCAAAATACAAATATAACTTATGCACTGGAGTTTTCTTGGTCTGATTATGAAACTCAGCTAATTCTATTTTTCATTTTAATGGTGCATTGATGACCCAGGTGAATAAAATGTGTATGTGTCTTTAAGGAGCCTGGGGTTACTTTCAAGAAATATCAGGGATGAGGAAATGCAACTTCCTAGCTCAGCAGTTTAAATACTCAAAACAGAAAGAAAACTGGTAAATCCTGGCCAAGGTGCTAAAAATGTGTTCCATTTAGGTTTCAAATCCATATGTGTGGAGCCTGCATCTGCTCATCTCAAGACTAAGAAGGCACTAAAATGTTGAAATGACTGGAGGAAAGTTGTTTTTTTGCTGGTTTTGGCAATATCCCTCTGCCGTACAACATCTGTAATAGAAAGGAAACAATTAGCTGCCCAGAGGGCTGTCCCCTCAGTGACAAACACGTTCTCAGGGTTTGTTTTGCAAGTGTGTTCCCTGTAACCCTTGGTGCTCACCCCTCTGAGCGGCTCTGCAGTGCTGTGAGCGTGGGGATGGTGAGAGGCTGGAGATGCAAGGGGCTGCAGGGAGCTGTGGTTTGGGCCAGTGCAGAGGTTGAAAATGATCTCAGCTGGCTGCTGTATTCTGATTCATATTATCAGAATTGGCAGGGCTGGATTTAAATCCCACGGTTTTTCTCCTGCTGAGATGAATGTGTGCCAGCTGGGGATCACATGGTGTGGGAGCGCTGAACAATAAAAGAAAGTTACTCGGGGTAACTTCCCTTTCCAGTTAATCCTTTTGCTTTTTGAAACTTTGTATTTCTTCAGTTAATAATTCACTCTAATATCTTTGTATTGTGCCCTGGAGCACGATACGTAGTTTATGTCATTTAAAAATAGATTTTAAATTATTCTAATAATTTTTAATCAATGCAAAATAAACTAATGTTTTCATAACAATTCTTTAATGTCGATTCTTTTGGTCAGTGCTCTGCTATCCTGTGTATCCTATATACTTAATTCTTGGCGTAAATTTAAAGAGAGATTAGGAAATGCAGAGGATGATTTGACATGAGCACCATGCATTAAAAAGGGAGAACAAAGCACCAAACAGAAAAATGTACTAACTTGTCCTTTAACCTTGATGCTGTTTTAATTTCAAACAGCAGCACAATGAATAGTAACAAAACTTTCATAGTGGCTGAGGTATTAGACAAAACAACTTACAGCAGTCCCTCCTTCTCCTCCTCCTCTCTCCAGCAGTTTTTACGTTACATAAGCAGATTTCTTTGTTTTTCCCCTTTCCTCGTGAACAGACTTCACTCTTTTCTCTGAGCAGACTGGTTTGCTTACGCCTCTCCCCTCAGCACAGGCTGGCCCTCCGAGAGGAGGAGCATCGTGTGGCTGAGCCCCAGCATGTGAACTGTGAGCACAAACTGAGCATCTGGGGACAACTCCTTCCTGGCAACTTGTAGGGCTTGTCAATGGGATCAGTGTGAGCCTCTGGTGGGGTCATTGCCATTGCAAAAGCAGCTCCTCGTGCAGTGGTACTGGATTACGTTTGCAGACAATGTCTTCTGAACCAGGTAAGGCTGACTGGGATGCTTCTGGCAAGCTTTAGTCTCTTCAAGGCTTGGGGTGTGTTTGTGTCCAGAGACACCAAGAGTTAAACTTTATACTCTGAGGCAAATAAACCGGTGAACATCAGCTGCCTTGTGATGCAATACAGCTGGAATGCTCTGGTGGATTTTTCCTCCTATTTGCAGTAAATGAGCTTGAAGTCTCCTGAACTGACTGCCTGATACATCTGCCACACAATAACCCTGCTGCTCTGGGCTTGTTTTGCTGCTGCTTTCAACAGCTCAGGACTTTCTTAAAAGCCAGTCCGTTTTTTGATGTTTGTGAGTGGTTTCAGTTCCTGGTTCATTTGCCAGATTCACTGAGCTGTGTTCATAGCTGTAAGGTTTCTAGAGGACATATCTATAAGAAAGCATTACCTCCGAGATTTATATCCTTGTTTTAGGAAGTAGGTGTATGCTCATGACTTATAGCTAGCTTTGCACCTATAATGTTGCAATAGTCCATTTAACTAATGCTTATGCTACACTTAATGTACACAATTTGCTTCCAGAATTTTAAAAGAAACTCACATTTTTTTGCACCATCCAGTGAAAGGTTTGGATTTTTTCCATTGTATGCTTGTAAATAAGTTTTAAAGAATACTACTAAAAATACTGCTTTACTTCTGACTGCATTTTTCAGTTCTGAGGAAAATTCAGCTTTGGGTAAGTTCAGTCAAAAGGCATACCCAACCCTAACACTTAATGTAAAACAGCAAATATTCTGAATTAGGTTTTTCACAGAGAGATGGGTGAAGCTGATCTGTGGAAGGTTTGGGTTTAGCATGCCAGTCTCCCTCTCTGGAAAGCCCTCTGAGGCTAAAGAGAGGGAAGGAAGTTACCAGCAGAGTGAGTTGGAGATTTTCTAGAGAAACTCAGAGTAGATGTATGCAAATAGTTCTACCGATTTCTCCTGATTTCAGTACTTGAGGGCATGTGCTTTTTTAGAGGGGTACAAAGAACACTTGTTTTAAAAAATTGTATTTGCTCCTTATCTTTTATGAGCAAGTTTGAAACTGCCCTTTCCCCTCTAGCATTTAATAATCAACTAAAAGGATGGAAATCACATCTTTGCTCCCACTCCTTAAATACCATTTTGTTGTATCCAGAGAAGAATTTACATGTGGATCTAGGAAACTTTCTGATCTTTCCCTGGTCTGTCTCTTAAGAGCTGTTCTCTACTGTGTATCCTTTTCCTTTAAATGTGACAGGAACCCTTACGGATCTTTCAGGAAGGATAATGTGTTATAACCACTATTTCCTCTTTCCCTTTGGCTTGCTTTCAGTCTGCAAAGGCCTAGGCCTACAGAATTCTTACATGTAACAGTGGCAGTCTGAAGGTCAAATAGAGTGGTGAAGCTGTGACATTTGGGGTTTTTTTGCGATTTTGTGATGCACAAATAAATTTTACAAGCTTTAAGGTGACATAAATTATACTATCAGGTGTAGGAGAACTGTGGATACAGACAGTGCACAGAGAAAGGCTGACAGCAAATAATTCCAGTCCGTGTGGGTTTTAAATCAAGTGGACAGATATCCCTGGATCCCCCCAAACAGTGTCAAAGAAGCAGTGAGTCTGTTGCTGAAGCGTTGGCTGCCTCCAGTTTGAAATACAAAGAAATCCTTCCAGTGCTGACTGCTGGATTGGGTGACAGGGCAAAAGGAGGGACAGTACCTGCAGGAAATACAAATTCACATATCAGTCCATTCATTGCTATCACCATGGGCAGTTTGGGCAGTTGAGTGTCTGAAGGTACCTGAGCAAAGCAGTTTTTCCGAGCACTAAAGACCACAACATATATGGAAAATGTACCTTTGCTGGAGTGTTGGTGTTTTTGAAGACTTGAACTTTATAGATTTATATTCTTTTAGTGATAGCATTCACTATAAGGGAAAAAACTGATTTCAAGCCATGGCTTTTCAAAGGGTCACTGATACCATGACTCAGAAGTCAACAGGGACTCCAGTGTTTTCATTACTGCCACCATTATGCTTTTCTTTGTGCCTGCAGCATGGAGCCTTATCTTAGTCTTTTTCGTGATATGTGGGTATAAACAGAAAATGTCTGTTAGTTTACACCAATGCTTGTAAACCCAGAGTATTTGTTGAGTCTACTAAAAATTCATAATATTTATGCAATTGTCCTCTATCACTCCCTTTCTGCCCTGGGTTTATAATAATTATAAAACAAAGGACTAAGTTTCTTCAGTGTTAAGAGTTTGGAACTTTAATGCCCATGTACTTCTTACAGTTTGACAGGCAATGCTTGACCTTGAGAAGGACAGGTGGTCAGGAAAAACAATCCTTCCTTTACATTTCCCTAAGATACTTAATGCATTATGGTTACTCTTGATTGCCAGTGAAAAAACCCGTGCAGTCATGACCTGCCACTATAAAAAAGGAAACAAAAAGAAAGGGAGGCAACAGCTGGTTTACGTCATGTGAGGTGGAGAGGGATTGGAGCATTGCCAAACCTTGTATTAGAAAAGTTAAATGCTTAACCTTAAACAAATGTTATTTTTACAAGTAATTTCGTAGAGTTTATTTGCTCTGTGTTTTGGAAAACTTTATTCCCCATCATGCAAGCCATCCACTTTTTTTAGTGACTATTACAATGCTCTTTCTACTGATGCCATGCGCTGAGGCTCTACGGAGAGCACTAAATATTACATAGGAGTCAGCAACATTCTGTTGGGCTGCAGTTCTGAGAGCAGCTCAGTGATCCAGTGGGCAGCTGCTGCCAGGAGGCTGCCAGGTCCCTTCCTGCAGCTCTTGGGCTCGCCCAGAGCCAGCCCAGCTCGTTCCCACTGTACAAAGCTCTGGTGTAAAAGCCGCGTCCACTCGCCCGGGAGCTGTGCGCGCTTACCCCGACCTGGAGAGAAACCCAGCCAGCCCTGGGGTGGGTAAGAAGGGAGCAGTGGGAATTCCAGGGATGTGGAGGGATGGAAAAGGTGGAACTTCTCATCTTGATGGGGGCTGCTCACTCTGGGCTAGATGCAGTTTGAGTGGGAACGGCTTGTTTTTGGTCTGTCCTGGGGCCTTCGAACATTTGCGTTTTGAATGGTTGCACATCCTCGAGGTGTTTTGGACAAAACTTGAGCCATTTCAAAGTTATTTCTCTTCTTGGAGTCTAGTTGGCCTTAATGTATTTTTTACATTATAATACTTTATTTTTTTTTAATAGTGTTTTCTATCCATTTGCACACTCAAAGATAAATACTCATAGGAATATTAAGCTTTTTGGAACAGTATGATAAATTTTCAACTTTGCATAGAAACAAGATGTTTGAATTATCTAGCTTTTTATAAGTTTTAAAAAATTACATTCAAAATTCATCATACAGTTGTTGTTTTTCTTATTTTTTTAACATTTGAGATTTTAAATGTAGGTCTAGAAAAGAGAGGAGAGAGAACTAAGCAATAGAATACTTTTCAATTTTAATCTCTCAGCTGTTCAGAGCATGAAGTGTAAAGCTGTTTCAATCTGTATATTGTTCAAGGGGCAAATGCATTCACGTGCAGGTCTGTTCACCTGGAGTGAATTCTGTACAAAGAGAGGTCATTTCTGGCAATTAAGGGCTAAGGGATTTTTTTCTCCACTTGGATTCCAGGCAACTTGTATTTGGCTTCCTTACATAAGGATGATCATGAGCCAGTGGGTTACTGTGAAATGGTGATTGGTTTCTTGTTCCTTACGGAAAGGAGGTGATGTAAAAGCTGACATAATTGTGCTAGGCTTTAAAGAGACTGGACAAGGAAGGTCCTTCCTTGAATGATTGCACAGGAAGGCTGTAAATGCACTTAAACGAGGCTTTTTGTAGCTATTCTTCACTTTTTTCCCCTCAACCAGGTCAAAAGCAGGAAGCACTTGAATTCTTGTGAAGTGTCCAGCTTGGGGTTCTTTATATTTCTGTTTTGGTGCAGCGAGCATTGCCTGGGAGCTGCTTGTTTGGGAGCTGCTGGTTGTTAATGACTTGGCAGGGCAGCTGGAGCTCCTGGGCAGCCAGGCTTGGGGAGGAAGGCAGCGGCCATGGGGCGGCCGTGGTGCTGCCCTGCTGGGCCCCAGGGCTTCTCTGCATCCCCACCTTCCCCTTCATCATAAAGTTCACGGGTTTGCGTTCTCTTGTAACCTTTCATGTAACAGGAAGCAGTGCCTGGTAGCCTCTTGTAGTGCTATTGTGCAGTTAATACCCTGCTGCCTCTTCTATAATTAGAGCATATTTCAAACCATTTAGATAATGTTTGTTTTTATTATTTTTTTTCCATTTCTGTCCCTACTGTTTTCTCCAGCCACACTGAGATATGATCCAATAAAATCAGTATTACCTAGTGGCTACTTGCTTCTGGAAAGACAATCTTGTATTCCTTTCCCTATCAATAAATTTGCATCTTTGCCCAAGCTCCAGTGCATCTAAGGTGAACGAAAGCGTGGAACTGGCTGCTTTATTTTTTGGGCAGGGTTGCATTTCTGATGGCTCAACTTTCCCAGACCACATCCTGAGGCTAGATGGGTGCCAGCCCTGGTGCACACAGCGGGGTGGGAGCGGGCAGCCAGCAGGAGGGAGGGAGGGGAGTGGGTGGAAGGACTTGTGTCCGTGACAGCTGGCTGCTGGGTGAGCCCTGGGCTGTCACAGGCTGGCAGCACACACGGACTGCTCAGCAGCTGGATCAGGCAAACACTTTCCATCTATCAGTGATAATTTTATTGACTTGTGTTGAGTGATTGACTTCTTTCTGCATCTTTGGCTGTTCTGCATTTTGGATGTACTATGTTATGTATTTATTTCTTTAAATTACTTCAGTGTGCCTGTGTTTTACAACTTCTGCCCAGATCTTCTGCAATAATACATCAGTTACAATCATCTGTAATTAGATACTTTATTTTTTTCTCCTTTGGGTCTGTGGGGGCTTTTTGCTTTGGCTTGTTTAGCATCCTGTTTCTAAAAATGTTTTCTTTTAGTACTTTT